TAGGGTTCGGGGAGAGTAATTTCTCCCTCTCCCTTTGAAATCCCTTCGATTCTCTCACTCCCAAACCCTATTCCACCAATTAAATTGCCTCCAAAGCTGTTCTGGAGCTTGATTGAGGGTTGAATTCGTGTGGAGAACGCTTGGAGGTGAGTTTTAATGGTTAGGGTTTCAATTTTCCTTCCCTTTCTCTAATTTTGGGTGATTTATGGGGTTCTCATGGAAATTAACCATGTGTTTAGGCCGAGATCTGTGTGGGAAACACTCCCGTGTTCGACTTTGAGCGTAGGTCTTCAATTCAAGGTAAAGGGGGACTCTACCCTACTCTTTTATGTGTAATTTATTGTTATTCTGTGGAATGTTGTGATGTTGCTGAGTTAGAGGATAGTAAATTGCTGAGATATGTGATGTGAATTATGTACTGGATGTCGTGAATGAGTGTGAGCACTCGTGCCAAAAAATTGAATGAATATTGTGTGAAATGTAGGCTCGAGGGCCGTGTAATATGAATGGAAATAGGCTAGGGGTTGTGTGTCTTGAATGAATTGTGGGCTATGTGCCGTATACTGAAATGTGTGTGACGGGGCGTGTAACACCATTGTAATGTGTTGTGAATGGTTCAGCGATACACTAGGAGTGTGGGAGATGAGGACGGTAGAAATACCTTGGGGAAGAGGGAGTGGTGGTGACACCGACTGTGGAACAGGTGCACCACAGGCCATACACTCTCTTCCTGACTAGACCTCTGACCATTACCTTTGCTGAGCGACCTGTGACTGCCCACGTGGTATCCGTGAGGCGGGGGTAACCGGCGACCATTCATGGTGTAAATCTGTGATCACAGTGTAAATGTAAGTATAACTGGCGTGCATATGTATGAGTTCATGAATTGTGCTTATGGATGTGATAATGCTGTCTGTGTTTGTATTTGTTTAATGTGTTAGAAATGTGCTGGAGGTGATACTCTATGCTTAATTGTATGTTGTGAGAGTGTAGAGTACTCACCCTTACATTCATTTTTCAAGTAATCAAGATAATCAGCACCGGACTCAGTGAAAGGAGCAGATGAAATGCTATAAGACTAGAATTTTAATTTGAAACTAATGTATTTGAATGGATCCTGTAGTAGTGACTTGATAGAAATTGTAACCCCTTTCCTTATTTTAAAATATTTGATGAAACCACGAGTTGAGAACCTTATTTGAAATGAAATTTATTTTATTCCGAATTTATGAAATTATGATTTATTAAAATTAAACATAAGGCGTTACACCTCTAAATTTGAAAGTGTCATCAAGTAGGTCCTACAAATATTTGGGCCATCAAATTAATCATTGAATAATTTGAATTGCTACCACATTAGTTTTCAAGATTTCTATCACTAAATTAATTTTTTGTCACCACTTTTGTTGTCTATAAGAATTAAGTTGATAAAAATCAAGTTCATATTTTTTCTTAAGGATTTAATTTATCACTAAGTTAAATACTTTTTCTTACCACATTAACTTTTTTTATGGATCAATATGGTGATATTTTAGATCTTTGGAAGATTAGTTGGGTGACAAATTAATTCTTTAAAGGAATAATTAGATGAAAAGAAAAAAAATCATTAAAGATTTGATGTGGTATTGATTTATATCTTTAAAGGATTATTTTGGTGGTTTAAACCTTTGGGAGACCTACCTGGTGAAACTTTCATCTTTGGAGAACTGTTAACACATAAACAACAACTGTAGTGCGTTAATCTAAGTAGTAAAGAGTTAATAGAGTCCTCAACAATTGTAGTCTTTGCACAATAATACAAACAAGAATTACAACAGAAAAAAAAGTTTAAATCTAAGTACTTTATAAAACTAAATAACTAATCACAAATTAATGATAGATTGAAACAAACTCATAATGATATAAAAATACAAGGGAAAATATGAAAATAAAATCAATTGAGAAAAGGGAACCCAAAAAAATCACTAAAATAGCAAAAACAAAAAGTTCTACAGAATAATCAAAATTAACTGTAAAAGGATATTTTAATAGAATTTTGCTAATAACTTTACTTGTTATGTGATATATTCATGTTATTATGATGTGTATATGTGGTTGCATACTTTGGAATTGGTTAAAGAATTTTTGAAAGTTTTTTGCAAATTTAGATTTTTTCTGTCCTAAAATAAGTATTGTTTTCTGTAAATATTATTATTAAAGCATGAAATGAATTTTTAACTCTTGATTTGTGTTGTATTGCTTGATTATGATATTATTGAAGTAAAATTTATGATTACCTCTTTGTTTGGGTATAAAAATGGATTTTTTTTTAATTTTTAAGAAAGATTACGATTTTGGGTAATATAGATATGTTTTCTATTATTTCTTTTAATAGTTTAGAACATGTAAATATTATATTCTAGAGCTGTTGAAATCATTTTGAATTTAAATGACATGTTAATTTTATTTTGAAGTTATTGGTAAAAGACATGAAAAAAAAAGAAAGAAATGGTTAAAATAGAAAGTGACCTTTATAAACACTATTGGACTATTGGACATATTTGAACTATATTTGAACATGAATTAATAACTTTGAACACATGAGAGACATGCTAGACAATTTAAGACTTACTAAATTTAGAAAAAGGACTTTTTTGCAATTAATATAAAATATAAGGACTAATGTGCAAATACTGTAAAATATAGAAAAACCTTTATAAATATTTTTTTGAGTATATCATGAAAATAGTTAAATTTTGAAAACTTTCCTACTAGTTTTACTTTATTTGGATTTATATTTAATTAGTTATGATTTTTTAAAGTTTTTGTTACATGAAAATATTATTTTGGGGCCAATGTATTTTGATTTATTTTTGTTTTAATATTTATAGGTATTTTTTATTTTATTCATATTTTTATATGAAAATAGAGTTTTTAATAAAACTATTCTCATTGATTTCACTTGATTTGGATTTGAAATAAAATAGTTACAAAGTTTTGAATATTCTTTTATATGTAAATGTCTTCTTGAGAATATGGTACTATAAATTATACTTGATAAGGAAAATATGCTCACTGAGTTTGCTCTATTTAGAATTAAAATAAAATACTTAAATTTTCTTAAAATGTTGTTGTATGGAAGTAATGTTTTTGTACATGTTATTGAGAAACCTGTTTTTGTTTTAAAGGATATAGGTAGCATTATTTTATTAGTATTTTATCATAAAAATAGATATAATAAGGAAAATATGCTCACTATTTTGATGAATTTTGGACTCAAAATAAAATATAATTTTTCTATTTAACTTATTTTGAGAGGTAAGTTGTTATGAGTAATAGAGAATGTTTATGAATTTTTCTGAAATCTGAAAGTGATGAATTTTTATTTATATTTTTTTTGTGAAACTAGATAACCAAGTAAAAAAATGCCATTGATTCCATGAATTTTTGTGGTGAATTGATTGACTTGTGATTTTTTTGAATATACTGTTGCTACATTATGTTATCTTGTGACATGTATTGGGAAATTAAAGTTCAATAAGATGTATGTGAACAATTTAATTTTTAAAAATATTTTCACTTAAAAATATTCATATTAAGGAAAATAACCTCATTAGTTGCATATATTTTGGATGATAATTGAATTTATTATGCATTTTCTAATATGCTGTCTATTTAGTGAAATAATATGAGAACAACAAAGGTAAATTGAGACTCAATTGATTCATTAGAAATGTTTGAATTTTGATTATAATTTCATATTATAGTAGACATTTAAAGGAAAAAAAACCTTGGTGATTTCATGATGTTTAGACTTGTGTTGAATTATTTACGAATTTTACAAGTTAGTATATGAAATCAAGACAAAACTATAAGTAGCTATGTCTATGAAAATTAACTTTTTCTTGTTTAAGGGATGTGAAAATGTAGTAGATGGACAATTCATGGCTGTAAATTGTTATAATCGATCTTATTATTATGAATTAATTTCACAAGGAAAGAGGTTGAAAACACTTAGTACAGGCATGGGACAAATAGTGTTAGTATGATCATAGAGGATAGTAGAGTACCAAAGTCTTACAAGGATCCAAGTCTAGCTAACTTGTGTCGTAGGCAATTGGAATTATGCTAACCTAACCTGATAGACATTAGAGTATACCATGATTGTGTGAGTGTGTCTGTTAGACATGACCATAACTGAGAAAAGAGTGGACTATAACAAAATTGTGTTTTTAACGTGGGATGTTGTACCTATGACACTTTCTGGCAGCGAATACGGAACTCTCAATCTTCAACCCAAAAGAATTTAATTAATGGATAATTAATTAATTCATGGAGGAAACAACAAATAAAAGACGTTGCAATGATTGTTGACTTATTGATTAAACTATTAAGTATATTCTATTCATTTAAGCATTAAGTATTACCTTAGACTATGATTTATGAATGTTTATACTCACTCCTTTTCTTGGTATTGTGTTCATTAAATGTGCATGGATGTAGAATGAGTGTTGGAGATATCCCCATTCTTGAATAAAATATGACTTTTAGTATGAGATCAAGAACATGGAGCCATAATAATGCTAATCAAACTATTATCTTTATTGGTTGTGTGATACTAACTATTACTACCATTAACAACTCCCATGTTGCTCCTATAATTATGTAGAGCCCTGTTAGGGTTGAGATACCCTATCCCATGTATTATGCAGTTGCTTACTTGGGCCTTCATGCTGACCCTCCTTTAGATGGGATAGAGGACTATATGAGAGTGATATGCTCGAAGATAAAACAAAATAAAAAAATGGTATATGTAAATTATGAGTGTTCTGGACATTTCCACTTGACCTTTATTTTCCTTTGGTTTGTAATATATCTGAATAAACTAGGAAAGATAGGAGGTTTGTATTATGTTGTCTACTACTAAACAATAACCTTTTTTTCTCTCTCTCTCTCTCACACACACACATTATGTGTGGGATATATATAATTACATGTGTACACAATCATTTTGAGTGCGAATGTATCATAAGGCCTCACATTATTTCCTAACTAGAATTCTGACTATACCTTTGTTAAGGGGCTTATTATTCTATACGTTGTATCCATGTGCATGGGCTAACCGACGACTATTGAGCTCGGCTTATCACCTACAGACTGACGTTCAGACTGAACGGACCATCCAATCCTTGGAGGACTTGTTGAGGGCTTGTGTGCTCAAGCAGCAAGGAACTTGGGAAGAGTGCTTGCCGCTAGTGGAATTCATATACAACAACAGTTACCATGCTAGTATTGGAATGACACCGTTCGAGGCCTTGTATGGGCGGAGGTGTAGGACTCCGTTGTATTGGTATGAAACCAGAGAGGCGACTTTGTGTGCGCTAGATATGATCCAAAGTCAGTGTGAGCAAATCAGAATGATCAGAGATAAAATGAAGGTTGCGTAAGACAGGCAAAAGAGCTACTATGATAAGAGGAGGAAACCGTTGGAGTTTCAGGTGGGTGACCACATATTTCTGAAGGTCTCGCCTGTGACTGGAGTGGGGAGAGCTCTGAAGTCTCAGAAGTTGTCTCCTAAGTTTATTGGACTGTTTGAAGTGTTGAGTAGAATTGGTCCTGCTGCATATCAGATCGCGTTGCCTCCGAACCTCTCGAATCTACATCCAATGTTCCATGTGTCACAACTTAGGCAGTATGTGCCGGATCCTTCCCATGTGATTGATCTTGACCCGGTTCAAGTAAGAGAAGACTTGTCGTATGACGTGTACCCGATGAGAATTGCTGATCACCGTGTTAAACAGCTGAGGGGTAAAGAGATATCATTGATGAAGGTAATATAGAGCTCGAGTGATGAGGGAGATGCCACATGGGACACGACGAGTAGAATGAGAGAATTGTATTCGGGGTTGTTCTTGTAACTGAATATGTTTGGTTGAATTTTGGGGACGAAATTTCTTAAAGGAGGGGAGAGTTGTAACGCCTCGAGTTTTGTAATATTAATTATTGATAATTATATAAATATAAATGTATATTCATGTGTGTATTTTTTTTAGATATATGTTGTGAATATATATATATATATATGTGTGGATGCATGACTAGTTGGGCTGAAATGGTCAAAGTGCCTAAGTACAGGGCAAGATACTAGGCTGTACTCGCTGCAGCGAGAGGGCCCTGGGAGGAAGGACTAAAACTATCACCTTCTCGTTGTAGCGAGAAAGCGACAGTTTGGGGGTGCATTTCTGGGTGTAGTCTCACTGTAGCGAGAAGATCTTGCTGTAGCGAGATTCTGCAGAAACCAGAGGACAATTTTCTTTGGTTTTTTCGTTGTAACGAGAGAGCGTGTCGCTGTAGTGAGAGGACGTGTCGCTGCAGCGATAATATCTCACTGTAGTGAGAGTGTCGCGACCAGAAAAGGATTTAAAGGGGGTTAAGGTTTGGGGAGAGTTATTTCTCCTTCTCCCTTCGATCCTCTCATGCCCAAAGCCCTTTTCACCGATTACATTGCCTCCAAAGCCGTTCGGGAGCTTGATTAAAGGTTGAATCAGTGTAGGGAACGCTTGGAGGTGAGTTTTAATGGTTAGAGTTTCAGTTTTACATCCCCTTCCTCTATTTTCGTGGTTTCCCTGGGTTCTCATGGAGTTTCTCCATGTGTTTAGGACAAATTCCGTGAGGGGGAGTACTTCTTGGTGGATTTAGCGTGTGGGACGTCAATCTGAAGTAAGGGGGGACTCTACCCTACTTTTTGTATGCGATTTACCGTTATTTAGTTGAATATTGTGATGTGGCTGACTAGAGGATAGGAAATTACTGTGAAATATGATGTGGGCCATGTGCCGTGATATATGAATATTATGTGTATGGATGAGAGAATATGTGGTTGATGAAATTTTGCTATGTATTGCGGTATGTGAACAAATGTGGGCCCGAGGACCGTGTAATATAGATGAATGTTGGCTATGTGCCGTGTAATGTGAAATGAATATGGGTCTAGTGCCATATATTTGAATGCAATGTGGACTGTGTGCCATGTGTAAGCATGATTATTGCATTCGTGAATGGAATATGTGTGAATGGGCGTGTTAGCGCCATTGTAATGTGCTGTGAATGGTTCAGCGATACACTGGGAGTGTGGGAGATGAGGACGGTAGAAATACCTTGGGGAAGAGGGAGTGGTGGTGACACCGACTGTAGAACGGGTGCACCACGGGCCACACATTCTCTTCCTAACTAGACCTCTGACCATTACCATTGCTGAGCGACCCGTGACTGCCCACGTGGTATCTGTGAGGCGGGGGTAACTGGCGACTATTCATGGTGTAAATCTGTGATCACGGTGCTGCAATGAATGTGGCTGGCGTGCATATGCATTGGGTTTATGAATTATACTTATGGATGTGAAATGCTGCTTGTGTTTGTTCTTGGTTAATGTATTGGAAATGTTCTGGAGGTGAGACTCTGTGTTGACTATGTGATTTGGGTAGTGTAGAGTACTCACCCTTACATTCATTTTTTAGGTAATCAAGATGATCAGCACTGGGTTCAGTGAAGGGGTGGATGAAACTGCTATAGGACTTAGGACATTATTTTAAAAAACTGTTGTATTAGAATAAGTCCTGTAGCGACTGCTTGATATAATTTCTAACCCCTTTCTTTATTTGAAATGGTTGATGAAACTTGAATTAAAATGAAAATTTTATTATTTAAAAAATTTGCAAAATTTTTTATTTATTGAAAATTAAATTTAAGATGTTACATATGGCACGAGTGGAATGGATTGGAATGAAATTAGTCTGGAAGTACTTTACTAAGCACGATCTTATGAGTGAGAAAAAGAACAACTTTGAGAATGACTTAAGAGTCGAATATGGATTGGATCTAGTGTGAATAGTTACAGAGATACATTGGAGGTATAGAGTTCAGAGACGATGAAGATCTAGGAGAAACATACGGTGGTTGATAAAACTTGAGTTAAAAATGGAAATTTTATTATTTCAAAAATTTGTAAAATTCTTTATTTATTGAAATTAAATTTAAGATGTTACAAAGATAGCATTATAGTTATCTTATCTTAGCGTTGAGCTTTTTGCACTATCTTTGTTGATATAGTAAAAATCTAATTATGTGTGACATGAATTAGACATAACTATTATAATTATTTATGTCCTTTGTTTTTTGTTCTATCATGTTTATACTAACTGAGTTAATTTTTTTAATTGTTTAGCAAAAAGTAGTTTTGTTTTATACAAAATTTAGAACACACATTTCTATCATATTTTGCTTATTTGTTCTACCATTTTTTTTTTACAAATATATGACTTATCACATATTTCCACTATTTACTTATGGATAAATTTTTAAGGTCAAAGTTTTTCTAGAACACACAATTTGACTCCCTTTATGTGTGCTGTTATGTTTTACACATAAATTATAACAAATATTTTTTCATATTCACCATAAAGACTATTTTAAACAAACAATGTATGATTCTAAATATAATACGTAGCTTTAATTGTTCATTTGAGTTTATATTGTGTAATCAATTTGGATATTTAAGTTCTTGATTGCATTTAGTTATTAATACTATTTTAGAAAATATATCCAGCTTAGTCCTTAAAAAATAAAGTTGTTATCAAGTAGCTCCAATAAATATTTAAACTACGAAATTAATTTTTCAACAATTTAAATTGTTACGATGTTACACTCTAAAAGATTTAATTATTTACAAACATTTTTTCTTACTACTTTAATTCGTTAAAAATGTATATATTTAAAAGAATAATTTGATGGCCCAAATCTTTGGAGGGTTTATATGGTGATAATTTGGAGAACTAAATTACTATTTTATATTGTTCTTTTGGTTTAAACATGTTTAGTGAATTGAAAGTATTAAAAGTTTGTTTACTAAAAAAATAGGTACGCTTTTGCCATTTTTAGAGTTGGTTTGGATAATATTAGTTATTAGCTATGTGCCTAGTTCTATATTATGGGAAAAATAAAAAACATAATTTAAAAAAGAAAAAGAACAACAATGTCAATTAGGAATTACTATCTTTGTTATTAAAAAAAAATTATTAGTGCTTCAAGATCAAACTAGTGTGACATTCTAAAACTTCATTAGTAATTCACTCCAAGAACAACTAATAAATTTTACTTTAAAAAAAATTCATCCACATTAGTACTTATTTTAAGTTACTACTAACGAAGGAAAATATTTATGAATAGTTGTTTTATTTATTTACTAAAAAGGTCGAATGTTTACGTTAGTTATTTGAAATTACAAACTTATGTGTTTCCTTTCTTACATAGTTAGTAGATATAACCTTAACATGTTGGTTATTTAATTGGTAAGAATGTCATTTTCTATTGTAGTGGATTTGAAAAGTAAGGTATACATGGAATAATTAAGGTGGATTGAGAGAAGTTATATGCAATTTAACTTGCAAGCTTTGGAAACATTCTCTTTGTGGATTCTTTTGAATTTTCTTTTCCTAGAAGTTATTTTCCTTTCCCCCCTGCAATATTATAGGAGGTGGATTTATAACTTAACTCTCATTTGATTCTATTTCACAATTTCTAGTTGCACAATTCATTCTTTTCTTATATATTAAACCTAGGCATATTATTTTCTTGCTATTCTCAAATACACTTTTAATTTGATTTTTTAATGTTTGGAATTTCTATATGTTTTCTTAAGCAAGCTTGGTATCTTGAGCAAATATAAAAGGGCTATGAAGGTTAGAAAATTCAAGTGATCATACAATTGAAGTTTGAAACAACATATGCTTGTATTTTTTTTATTCCTTCATTTTATTTATGCATTGTGATTTTATCTCTCTCTCTGACATACATGCACATAATAGTTTAATTGTGCTTTTCTTATGCATTCAAGCATTATAGCAGTGATTGCTTTATAATAAATTACAGACCTAATAGTGTTACTAAAATTAACATAACTATTGATTAAGAGTTAATTGATATTTTAAAACTTGTTTTTCTTAAATGCTTCAAGATAGTACTTCTCATTATGTTTAATACATTGTTATAATTTTATTTAAGATATCTTTTGTTATTGCAGTTGTAAGTTTAATGTTTATAATGGGTAAAATTTCATCATCTAATGAGGTTAGGACATTAGTCCTAGTTGGACGTACTGGAAATGGCAAGAGTGCAACGGGTAATAGCATTATTGGAAAGGATGTCTTCAAGTCGAAGAGAAGATCCTCAGGTGTAACAAGTGTTTGTGAATCACATAGCGTAACCCTAAAAGATGGACCAACTATAAATGTGATTGACACTCCAGGTAAAACATGGTAACTTGTCATTCATTATAAAACTAAATATATGATTTGAGTGAAAGAGTGTGATTGATATAATATTTATGCCTTTGTCTCTTGAAATTTTATCATAAATCAATATTAAAGCTAGAAAATTTTGTAGGATTATTTGCTGGAACTGAATCTATTGGAACAGAAATAGTTAAATGTATTGACATGGCAAAGGATGGAATCCATGCTATCCTTATGGTGTTCTCTGTAAATACTCGCTTTTCTGAAGAAGAACAAGCTACTTTTCTTAGCTTGCAAGCTTTGTTTGGACCAAAAATTGTTGACTACATGATTGTGGTCTTCACTGGAGGGGACACGCTAGAAGACTATGAAGAGACACTTGATGATTATTTAGGTTCTGAGTGTCCAGAGCCTCTTAAGGTTTCTTAACATTACCATTTTGATTATGATATACTGTTCTTGTTTCCATAACTTTCTTTAACTACCAAGTTTTATTTTGATGTTATTGTTATGAGCTTGTTTAATGGTTGATTTCAAATTAAATTCTTGTCTTTCTACTTATAAAAACTTGTAGCAAAGTAAATTACATTTTTAACTGCTAGTAAAAATTTAGGCTTATAATTTATATATTTAAGCTTGATGAAATAAAGTATGCTAATTTTTTAAGTTTCTTTAAATTGAATTGTTATTTTTAATTTGAAAAATATTATGTAATAACTTTTTACTACTTTCATATTTTCATTTTTGAGAAAAACACATAATTATTATTCTTATAAAATTAATACAATAAATTTCTTAATAAACGTGGCATAAAAGTATACATATTTGATGCACAAAAATATTGATGATACAAATCATTAATAAATTTGTTTGGACAACTTAGTGAAGAAAATATTTGTAACAAGCTAAAATGTTGGTGATATAATAAGTTTGGTGCATACGATGATATCATGTTTAGTATTTTATACTTATTTCTTTCATTTCCTAATATATATAAACATAATTTTAAAGATTAATTGTGTAGTTAAGTTTTATTTTTTGAATAACAATAAAGCTTGATGTTGTACACTATGTTATTGTAATTTTTTATAGACCTCGAACTAATTGATGTTGTGCATGATCTTGCAAGATTTAAAAAATTTATATTTATTTTTATTAGTCCTCCATCTCTTTTGAAATACATCTTTTATTGTTGTTATTAATACCAATTCATTATCTAAATGTCTTATAATATATTGGACAATTTTATGTGTCAAATCTTCAATGAAAAATTTGGAAATTGTTGATTATGATTGTGTTTTAACACTTCTTTAGGATATTCTTACCCTATGTGGCAACCGTAAAGTGCTTTTCAATAATAATCCCAAAAGAAAGAAAAATAAAGAAGGACAAGTTCAACAACTTCTTCGTCTTGTAAACATGGTTGTATCACAGAATGGTGGGCTGCCTTATACAAATGAGATATTTAACGAAGTGAAGGTAAAAATTTTATGAATTTTACAATTATTTTATAAATATTAATAACTGAAAAGATAATATATATGATATTAACATATTCATCACTTGACTACTACAGGAGAAGGCAAAAATGCGTGATCAACAACAAAAAAGGGCTGATTCTTTAAAAGGATATTCCAAAGAAGAGATATTAGATATTAAACAACAAATGCAACAAAATTATGATAATGAGCTTAAACGAATTACTAATATGGTACGTATTATCTTTCTTTCATGATATTTATTAATAAAATATTTTTTCTATTACTCTTGAAAAAAGTTAAACATGTGGGTACTTTCATATAATATATTAATTTTGTAAAAGAAAATTTATTTACTATAAGTTCATATAAAATTTCATTAGGTTCATGTATATGCAAAAGTGGGAATTTTCAAAATCAACGTTACTTCAAATGTTATTTTAAATTGAATAACTGCATTAGGTCTTGTAGTTTTCTTGTAATTTTACAACATAATGTCTTATATTGTTAAAATTTTTCATAGAATTTATTAACAAACATTGTTATTTCGAAATAAAGATGTAATTTAAATGATGCAATTATTCAAGGATTTATTGAATAATTACAATCTCATTTTATAAGTTGAATATATGAATCTAATTTTGAATTTTAAAAATTAAAATTGATATTCAATTAAAATATTCACCTTTAAAAAAGAGACAAGTATTGAAAATATATTATTCTATTACTTTTTTATTTTAAATAATATTATTTCAATATCTAGGTTGAATCAAAGTTGAAGGAAGAAACTGGTAATCTTTTGAGAAAGTTAGAAGAAGAGAAAGCTGCCAGAATTACAGCAGAAAATAATTATAAAACAATTCAAATTTCATCAAGTTATGAAATTGAAAAGCTCAAACAAGCTCTTGAGAGGGCGCATAAAAGAATCAATGATAATGAACAAAAGCGTTGTTCCATTCTCTAATTAAAGCAACTAATAATATTGCTTATATATTCTTCTCTCGTGTGGTGATTGTAAGTATTGTATTAATTAATACTCATATAAATGTTGTAAATATTTACTAAGGGTTGATATATAAATAAAATAGTGTTTGAATTAAATTTGTTAATTTATTATTGTTCTTGCATATATTGTCATGGCTATCATTTTATTTTAGTTTCATCGTTATTTGATTTTTCTTTTGTTTCATTTAGGTTATGTATAATAACATCATTAGATCTTATTTCTTTGTTGGGTTTAAAATTTTTTGAGTAACTTTATTTTTACAAACTATATTATGTTTTAAATTTAGATGCGTATAACAAACTTATATTTGTGAAGTTTAAAAAATTATTTTTGATTTTATTTTATTTTTATTTTAAATAATCATTAAACTCACTATTATGATTATTGGCTTGTAATAAGATTTTATTTTGACATGTCATGCTTTGTTTAGTTTCAAAATTTTAAAATAAAATTAAACTTTGAATGAACGAAACTTTTAAAAAAGAAGAAGATATTTTAAATTTTTTCTTTTTAACCTTAATTTTCTACTTAGTAATCGTGTAGAATGCATCTAATCATATCATTTTAATATTGATATGTCACATTATCACCTCAAGAGATGATAAAAACTATTTAAAAATATTAAAATTTATGATAATGAAAGTTTTTTTTTATTCAAGTCTAAAATCACATCAAGCCATATTTATAAGAAATAGTTATTTAGTTAGAAAATAATTTTTTGGTAGAAGAAAGCAAATAAAAATATATATAATATCAAATATAAGACTACCTTAGTAACAACATGAAAAAGTAATTTTAAATTTGTAGGAGATGAGACCCAATCTTTTAAACTACAATATGAAGAAACTCAAGCTTAGCTAACAAAAATTTGCACGTGTTACCTGTACATAGGGTGTATCTTGTAACGTCGTTTATTTTATGTTTTAATTTGTGTAGTAATTTATAACCAAGGAAGAAAATAAAGTGAATTCTTTATATATTCATAGCTTAAAGAATTGAAGAAAAAATAAAACTTACATTTCTTTATTCAATTTATGAAAACTTAAAGGTATTTAAAATTTTAAAAGAAATAATTTTGAAATTTTTAGATTTTTAAAATAGAGTAAATTAAAATTTTTCATCTTGATAATTTACTCAATTAATTTCACATACATTTAGGTTTAAAAGATAAATAACTTTGCCACTCAGTAAGGTAAATTTCTATCCAAAATTCAATGATAATATAATTAGAACAGATAACTATCAATATTACCAACACTTTGAATTACTTGTTACAACAAAATTTAACTATCATAAATTCTAAGATTGAAATTAAAATATTTACATACTCTTGTAAACTTAAACTAGTAATTAATAAAAGTATTACAATCTTCAAAGTAGTTTAAATCCTAACAGAGCAGTCTTTCCTATAACGTTCCCGAGGATATGATCCTAAAACATGTCAACCTTCTTTAATTTCTTCAATTTTAATTCTTGAAAATAATTTGTAAGGGTGTGTACTCTTGCCTCGCTAAAACTTTTATATTATAAAATAATCAAACTAATACATAAAAGGTCAATTAATACAGACAGTAGATCGCACATGATAATAATCATATCATCTATACTTTAAACCACACATTAAGATCATACCATTTTATATATTCTTACATCGATCAACATATCATAATATATGAGTCATAATCATATTAATCAATGCATTACAATATATTTATTATAATTACACCCGTCGATATATTACAATACCTGTATAATAATCACACCAATCAATCTATTATGACTCACTTATTATAATCACACATATCACAATTCTATTACTATTACCATAAGGATCCCTTGAGGTCTTCCATAAGTATAAACAGTCACCGATTAGCGGGAATAACATGGACAATGTATGCTTTTAGCAAAGGTATAGTTAGGAGTTTAATCGAGAAATGAGTGTGAGGTCTGTGATGTTTTCGCTTTTAGCAATTCATGTGCTCCCACTATGAACAACATTTACCACACTTATTTCTTCCATATTTTTCAAATCGTCTTTGAACTCTATACCCCCAATATATCTCGTTAACTGTCTATACATATTCTGTAACACCCTATTTTTGTTATTTACTAATAATGTATTTTGTATGAATTGTTAATGCTTGTTACTTGAAATTAGGAGACTTTTAGGTGTGTGAGTTGCATGATTTCTCGCTGTAACGAGAAATGAGTGTCTAGAATCAGGCCTCTGACGCTCTCTTGCCGTAGCAAGGATACTCTCGTTATAGCGATGAACTTTCACCGTAGCTAGAATGACAGAAAGTAAAGTGAAATTTTGTCTGATTTTTTCGCTGCAGCGAGAGAAGGTCTCACTATAGCAAGAATCTAGCTAGAATTTGCTCACTGTAGCAAGAATATCGCGAGTTGAGGGTATTTAAGAGCTTTCAAGTTAAGAAACTTGGATTATAATCTAGGTTATGACCCTTCTTCATTCTCTCTGACCTCTCTCTTAATTTTCTTAGAAAATCCTTGAAAAATCTTAACTTTCTCCGATCAAAGCTTGGGAGTTCACTTTCCTTTCTCTTTGGTAAGTTTTTGAAGCTTGTTCTGTAACGCCCTAATTTTGTAATGTTGTTAAATTATATATATATATATATATATATATATATATATATATATTCATATGTGTGTTGATTTACTTGATAGTGATGTAAATATATGTATGTGACCTTACTATGATATGAGTTTGTGGCTGGAATTAGACTGAAGGAAAATAGGCTAAGTTCTGGTTCAGGGCATTCCCACTATAGCGAGAGAACCCTGGGTGAAAGACATGCGTCTGTCACATTCTCGCTGTAGTGATAGAGTGACAGTCAGTTTGGGGTGCATTTCTAGGTGCAGTCTCGTTGTAGCGAGAGGGTCTCGCTGTAGTGAGATTCTGTAGAAATCGGAGGGGTATTTGAAAGGCTAGGGGTTCAAGAAATAGGTTATTTTTACGTTTTCCCTTCTTTCTTCTGCGATTCTCTCGATCCCAAACCCATTCTTACCGATTGAATCACCTCCAAGGCAGTTTGAGAGCTAGATTGAAGGTTCAAATCACGTTTGAGGCGTTTGGAGGTAAGTTTTAATGACTAGGATTTCGGTTTCTTGCCCTCATTCTCTATTTTCTTGATTTTCCTGGGGTTTCATAGAGTTTCTCCATGTGTTTAGGCCGAGATCTGTGTGGCGAGCACGTCCGAGGTTGAGTTCAAGTGTGGGTCTTCAATCCAAGGTAAGGGGGGAACTTTACCCTATATCATTGTTGTGATTTGTTGTTGTTTTGTTGAATATTGCTATGTGACCGAGATAGAGGATAGGGATTGTGTGTTGGATGAAATTGATGTGCAATATGATGAGTGTTGGAGTAGTTAGGCCCCGTGGGGGTGATTGTGTGTGATGGAATGCCATTGATTGGTGAATTAATGTTATCGTGAATAAATGAAGGCTATGTGCTGTATGTTGTGGATAAAATGTGGGCTGTGTGCCGTGTAACATGAATTAAATATAGACTGTGTGTCGTGTGCAAGCATGAAGATTGCGTGTGTGAATGAAATGTATATGTATGGGGCGTGTTGGCGCCGTTATAATGTGCTGTGAATGGTTCAACAATACACTGGGGGTGTGGAAGATGAGGACGGTAGAAATACCTTGGGGAGAAGAGAGTGGTGGTGACACCGACTATGGAACGGGTGCACCACGGGCCACACACTCTCTTCCTGACTAAACCTCTGACCATTACCTTTGCTGAGCGACTCGTGACTGCCCACGTGGTATCCGTGAGGTGGGAGTAACCAGAGACCATCCATAGTAAAATCTGTGATCACAGTGCCACAGTGAGCGTGGCTGGCGTGCACGAGACTATTGTTTGTTAATTTCATATATATATGATTGTTTGGTGCTATGAGTGCATCGATGACAAATTGAAACGAAAATGTTGTTTATGTGTACTTTGCGTGAAGTATTGAGTAGTATAGAGTACTCAACCTTACATTCATTTTTCAGGTAATCAAGATGATTAGCACTAGACTCAGTGAAGGGACAAATGGACTGCTATAGGACTTATATTTTATTTTAAAAATGTTGTAATTGAACTAGTCATATAGCAATTATTTGATATTAATTTGTAACCATTCTCTTATTTCGAAATATCTTATGAAAATTTGGTTATTTGAATTTGAAAAATTATTATTTAATTGAAATTAAATTTAAGGTGTTACAGGTTCTCCATTCCTTTAGTTATTTTCTTGTTTTTTCTCCTATAAATAGGATTTCTTGTGATATTTAGGAAAAACCCAACTTTTTGAGCAAGATTCCTCACAAACCTTTCACTAAACTTCCATTTCAAGGTAAGGAGAACTCTATCTTGTTACTAAGAAAGTGGTGTGTTTGTGTTCATGAAAATGTTGTGATGAAATGCATGATTTTGAGTATATGTTAGATGAGAAGATATTTTTGTTATGCTTGAAACATGTTTAATGATGTTTGATGATGTGTATAATCCTTGATTTGAATGTATATGCATGTATGTTGTGGATTGAGTCTGAGGGTGACCAACCTTTGGTAATGATTGGTTGATGTATGATGTAATAAGGAACTAGTGCAAAATAGAGAGATAAAAGGATGAATAATATGTGAGCAGAAAATAATGAGTTTGGGGCATAATGACTAATGAGTAGAGTAAATCCATAATGAGAAATATAGAAATAAGATGGAAAATATGGAAAGGAGAATGAAATGAAGAAGGAATATGATAAGGACAAGTATAGATAGTTCAGAGGTACACTGGTGTGTGGAAGATGGAGGCGATTGAGAAATCTTGGGGAAACGAAGGTGGTGGATGCGCTTCTTGAATTGCACATAACAAATGAGAGTAAGAGCACCACAAGCCTCACACTTGTTTCCTGACTTAAACTCCTGACCATGCTTTTGCTAAAAGGGGC